CGTGGCGAAGTAGTCGTACGCTCGCTGCCGGTTCGTGGCCGTCGTCGGCTGAGGGAAGCGGACTGTCGCGCGATATGCCTGGCGGCCAGGTGCGAATCCAGACGGTTCTGACCACTGTCGCTAACGGGCAGCAGGCGGGCAGCAGGCGTGCTAACGGGCAGCAGGCGGGCCCCGCGGCCGAGCCGAGCAGCCATATCAGCATGCATAGAAACATGCCAGTCGCCTCCCGCAATCCGGGCCGCGCCCGCAGGGACTGTAGCAAGGAGGGTCGCCAGTTCGTCGCGGAACGCCACCCGTTCGGATGCGGGCCGCTCGGCGTGCGGAGTGTACACAGAGACAACAGCATACTTCCGACCACCGATGCTGATGTGTAGGGCGACAGATCTGCCTGATGGCGAACATGTTGTCGCCACGTGCTGCTCCCACCACTGCTTGGCGACCGCCGGGCTGAGCATGATAGCAGCACCCCGAGCAACCACAACAGTGTATTCCTCCACGCGGACAATACAGTCACAGTTGACATCTGGAGCATACGTTCTTAATAAAAACGTGATGTCCCAATTGTCCTCCCGAGCCCGATGTCGTGCACATTCGCCGCAACAACATTGACCGCACCCAAATTCTGAACACAACGTGTGTGACATGCACGATGCAGTCTGCGTGTGGGGGGCCCTTGGGCCAGCATTAACCGGGCAGCTGACCCGATAGACTGCTGATCCCCTGGTGGCTTGCTTGTTGCCCGCTGCTCCCGAGGACGCATCTCGCCCCGTGCATTCCTGGATCTGCGAGCCACTCCAGACGTGCCGCCACAGTACACGTCGCAGAGCCTCATGCGTCTGGCACCCCTCTGCTGACTCTTAGCTGGGCCCCGCCGCCGCGATCCCACGTATCCCAGGCGGGAAGGTGCAGCGCCCGTGCCCCTGGCACCCGAAGCCGTTGCGGCCTCTCCGCGCCCGCGGGCGCCGGAGGGGCGCTCGGGCTAGGAGGAGGTCGGCGCCTGCCAGCTCTCGCCTGCAGGGCGTCTTGTCGTGCCGGTGCCGCGCGGCCGGCCTGTGCGCCCGTGCGTCGGGAGGGGGAGAGGCGACACCGACATCACCAGAGGGGCCCACCTCCACCGAGGAGGTCCACGATGCCTCCCCGAGCTGGAGGCTAGGGATGTCTCGAGCGGGAGGGGGAGACCACACCGCCAGAGAAGCATCTTTGCCTTCTCGCATCTCCTCGCCCCAGTAGTGATGGTGTCGCCTCTCCTTGTGCCCAGCAAGGAACGCAGTTTCGATGTTTGTTCATGGAGCCTTGGGCGGCGACATTGGAGTCAGCTCTCCTTGGATTTGGGCTGCATTCAGACTGTTCCTCCTCGCCCTTCCTGTGCCTCCGGTTCCTCCTCGCCCTTCCTGTTCCTTCTTTTCCTCCACGTTCTCTTCGGTCCCCTTGGTCAAGGGGCGAGTCTGGTCCAAACCTGGGCCCACGTGTGTTCCACATGTGGCCCATATCAGGACCACATCGGGCAGCGCCGAGGGCCAAAGATGGTCCCAGGGAGCGGACGCCAAACCTGGTTGGGTGCGGCTCGGGCCGCGCGATGCTGGAAGTGCCTCCCTTGTTCCGCCACCTGCATTGGGGCTGGGAGGCCGGGGGGTCCAGTGGCGCAGGGTAGAGACGGCGGCAGTGTTTGGGGCGTCCGATGGTGCAGGCTCTGCCTGTCAGACAGGGGCTGGCTGTGGAGATGCCCAGACCCCCGACGTGGTGTTTTTTTTTGTTTTGCGACGTCGAGCCTCAAAGGTCTGGACCCCTTCCCCAGGACCGGTTTTTCATCATGAGTCATTTTGTTGACGGTCCCGAGGACAGGTGAGGGCCCCCAGAGGCCGAAAATACTGAAAATCCCCCGTCGTGTTTTTTTTTTCAACGCGAGGAGGTCTGGGTGCGTCATTGTCGCGATGCCTCCCTGGGCGAGCACCCTCGGACCATTCTTGTTGCGGGGGCCTCCTGGGGGACGTCTGAGAGGCATTTTGGGTGTCTCGGGCTTGGCTCGGGGAGCGATCTGACCCCTGAGCCGCCCGCCCCGTTCCTGTTTTTCTTCGGCCGCGTCCTCTCCTCGCTCCTTCTCCTTTCTGGTGGCACAACTCGCTCTAACGGCATCCCCGTTGACGCCTCTCATCGCCAGCGCAGTCCTTTCTGCCGAGCCGCCGACGCCAAAAATGTGTCTCGGGCCCTCTTTGGGATTTTTCTGGTGGGGAGGGTCCTCGTGCCGACTTTGGGTGGCTTGGTGGCCGTCCTCGGGCCGCCTCGGGGCCCCACTGGACCAGTCCGTGGCCGTCTCAGGGGTCCCTCTTCACGAGGAATATTCCAAAATTGTCAGAACAATAGTTTTGGGACGATGTTTTGTTTATTTTTGAATATACTGAAGGCAATTTCGACAAATGTTTTTTCTCCCTCCAAAATCCGCATATAGGGGGACATGCCCGACCCAACGCTAAAAGCATAAACGTTTGGCGCTCCGCGCGGATATTTTTTGAGCCTGCGCTGGGGCCCCCTGGCGGCGACCCAGGCGCCGCCGCTAGCGCGCCCCGCGCACCCGGAAAGGGGGGTCCGGCGCAGATCTAGGAGCTTTGCGCGATGCGCCTAAAGTTTATGCTTACACCGTTTTGTTGTTGTTGTTGTTGTGTTTTGGGCGTTTGCGGGCCATCTCGGGACATCCCGAGGGGTCTTGGGAACGGTTTGGGCCCCACTCAGGTCGCTCCGACTGGTGTCCACGAGTCCGCTGGAGGCGATGTGGAGCGCCCCACGGGGGGCAAGGCAATCCGTATGTGGTATTTGGTACGGTGCCCAGGGCTCCAGACTTCTCGGCCCCTCCCCAAGGTGCCGGCTCTTCCTCCCGAGTCATTTCGTGCTGGCCCCGGGTGGTTAAGCTGGCGTCCTGAGGCCCAGCGTCGCGGAAAAAGCAGCCGTCGTTCCCAGACCCCCGATGTAGTGTTTTTTTCGCAACGCCGACCCCCAGAGGTCTGGACCCCTTCCCCGGGACCAGTTTCCAATCCTGATCGAATCGTTGTTTGACGGTCCCAGGGCGCGGTGAGGTCCCTGGAGGCCGAAAGTAGGAAAAAAACTGTCCGTCGCGACTCTTCTCACCCCGCGAGGAGGTCTGGGCTCCGCCCTCGAATCGCCGGAGAGCCCCCGAGGCTCGGAATGCGTTCTGGGGGCAGTTCATGAACCAGACGACGACCACGATCCCCATCAGCCGGAGGGTCTTCCAGAAGGCCCGCGCCTCGGATCGGGGGGGTCTCGGCCGGGCGGCGGCGGCCGCACGCGGCGGCGGCGGCGGGCTGTGAAGCAGTGGCGAAGCGTCCTGGCTCGCCTGTAGCCCTACCAGACAATGTTCTAAGAGCCTTCTGTGGTTTCCACAACATGTTCTTAGAACATTTCTGGCTGGGGCTGCCCTGTTTTAGCACATCGGGTTCAGGTTCTAAGAACATCGTTGTTGTTATTCGAACATTTTGGGGTTCTGAACCCTTCGTGGAAGGCCTATAGGAATGCCGGGACGGTCGGTCCCTGCTCAAGGGGTGGGGGACATGCGGCACCGGCCAGCAGCGGAGAGTTCGCGTGCGGTCTCAAGTCTTAAGTCGGGCACGTCGCTCTACAGGAGGCACGCTCGAGAGTAGTGAAAGGGTGGTCTGGTGACGATTTTCCAGCATTTCCCATTGTTTTCGATTGTGTGTTGACTACGGTGTTATTCTTCTGCCAAAGTGCACCTGCAGGAGCACATGCCCGACCGAAGTGTAGTCAAAAACTGCCAAGGGTCGGCCTCCAAATTCTGGTTGGCCCAAATGGGGGCCAGCGAAAAGAGGGTGGTGCGCTAGATTTGGTGCGCTGTATTTGTGGGGCTGTAAAGATTGGTGGCGTGCAGTGCGTTCCGATGCGTAAATTTATTGCTGGATGTCCGCGTGCAGCGCACGAGTTGCAATTCAATGCAGTACACTTCTCAGGGGAAACACAATTGCAGTACCATTGCCCCAATGTATTGCACCAACCCCTTTCAGCTGAACCCCTTTTTGGGTCAACCAAAGAGAGGTCGCAGGTAGACGTCATCTTGACGATGGCCCCTGGACGGAAGCAAGAGTATTGTTGCAGTCGATGCGCGGCAACCAGGGCGTGCAGCGAAGGAAGGTGACATATGGCGTTGGTCGGCGAACCAGTGCATGCAAAAGAACTCATCTTCGTTTTGACCAGGAGGACGTATGAGAAAGTGGAGGCAGAGTAGAAGGAAGAGGAGGAGGAGAAATGGGAGCAGGAGAAGGAAAACATGAAATAAAGGGATGCAGTAATGGAGGGCCCCCTTCCCGAAGGCCAAAACAACCAAGGCAGAGGAGGACAAGGTGGGGAAATAATCGAAGGATATTAAGGAGGAGGCGGATAAGGAGGAGGAGGAGGAGGAGGAGGAGGAGTAGGAGTAAGGCGACACAGGAGGTAGAGGAGGAAGCACAGGGGTTTGGTCCAGAATGGCCCAGAAACGAAAGTGGATCATCAAGAGCACGCAGAGGATGAAGTAGATGCAGCAACAGATGAGGCGAGAGTCGAGAGGGGGGAAAGAGGATGCGGATGAGGCGGAGAAGGAGGAAGGGGGGAGAATCAAAAGGAGGATGAATGGCCTTTGGCTCACCGTGCCCATCAGGGGGCTGCCTTCAGGGCTGAACACCCTGACCCGATCGATCCTGGTGCCCATTGAGCCCGCCGGGAGCGAGTTCTCGAGAACTTTGGGTGTCACTTTGCAAATCGTCGCCGAGGAAGATTTGGCTGCCGAGTTCGCTGTGGACCCCATGGCTCTCATTAGCGGGGTCCACTACCTGACCGTTCCCCCTGTACATCTTGCAACACAGTCATCACAATCATGAACGAAGCATTCAAGTGAACGTTTATGTCATTGGGCCTCGAGAGGCCTCTGTGGACCTTATACTAATACTGGTCCGTTCCCTCATTCCTCCTCGTGCCACCTTGCTGTAAAACCTTCCTGTAGCCCTTGTGGCTCAACAGACTTTGTCGCGACATAGGCCGTTTGCCTTTGTCGCGACCCTGGTTGTCGACGTTGATCGGTGCTCAATTTGAATTGGTTAGCCATGTTCAAGAACACGTATCAGTCTGGCTTCTTGTCTGTTCTGTATTCCATAGGGAGTAAGCCGTTGCAGATTTGGGATAAGAAGGTTCGCAATGGGCACATCAAGCGGCTCACGGATTCTGACATCCAGTCCAGCGTGCTCGAGATCATGGGAACGAACGTGAGCACTACGTTCATCGAATGCCCGGCAGACCCGAAGCAGACGCTCGGAATCAAGCTGCCATTCCTGGTGATGATTATGAAGAACCTCAAGAAGTACTTCACCTTCGAGGTCACCGTGCTCGACGACAAGGAGGTCCGGCGCCGCTTCCGCGCCTCGAACTACCAGAGCACCACCCGCGTGAAGCCGTTCATCTGCACCATGCCGATGCGCCTGGACGAGGGCTGGAACCAGATCCAGTTCAACCTGTCTGACTTCACCAGGCGCGCGTACGGCACGAACTACATCGAGACCCTCCGCCTGCAGCTGCACGCGAACTGCCGGATCCGCCGGATCTACTTCTCCGACAGGCCTCGGGGGACCAAAGCAGGGCACCACCGTCAGTTGTCGGAGGTCCGCTCGGAGTCCTCGGGTTCGGTAGCAGCTCATGGGAGCCTCGTATACCCTTCCAATTCCGTCCTCGGCGTCGATTGGCGTCGCTCAGCGTCTGGAGTCGACGAGACAGCGCCGACTTGGCGTCGCCTGGCGTCGATCTGGCGTCGGGCAGCTTCGACGCAGCGCCGGCGAGCGTCGATTCGCAAGAGCCGACGAGATGGCACGGGAGGCTCCCGCGAGCTGCCACCGAGCGCGGCCCAGCGCTGGGCCTCCCGGGAGGGGCGCCGCGTGCCCGTTAGTCACCGCCTCGTGCACGTGGCCTGCCGCCCTCGACCGTGGCCCCGTGCCTACAGGGCGCGGCCGCCTGCGCGGCTGCCCCGCGCGGAGCGCATCCCTCGGATCGCGTGCCCGCGGCGCCGCGCATCCATAGGATCGCGCCTCGGACTGCGAGGGCATGGGTCCCAGTCTCCGGCGGCGGGCAGGGGGGGGGACGCTCAGAAGGAGAAGGCTCTCGCGGGAGGCGGCGGGACTTCTGGGGAGCCCTCGCGCCTTCCGGGAGGTGTGCTGCGGCTTCGCGGGAAGGCTCAGGACGCTTCCGACAAGGCCGGGGGACTTCCGAGCCTTCTGCGAAGGTCTTCTCCTTCTCACCTCCCCCCCTCGCTCGCCACCAAGATTTGCGTGTCGCTCGTGACGACCCGCCTTCCCGCGCCCCTTCAGCGGCGCGCGGAGAGCACCCGGGGCGGCGCTGGAGGCGCCGACCGGGGTGTGGGGAGGGGGGCCCAGCGCCGACCTAAGGAATCCCCGCTGACCTTCGAAAGCTCAGAGCATGCCTGCCGTGCCGCCTGCTCGTTCCTTCAGGGCTTGACGTCCTGTCTCCAGCAGACTTGCGGGGATCAAGACAGAGAACTCGAGGTACATCGATCTATACATATATATATATATACATATATATCACCGTATATCAAAATTCCAAATGAATCGGTGCCAACCCAGGTAGATCTAGAGATTTTCTTGGGAGATCTGGAGCAAACCGTGGACGCTACAGCGCGAGTCGAGGGGTAGTTGGAGTCGTTGAGCCCTCATGGATTGGCCCTTGAAGGCTGTACAGCGAGGAGGAGCTGCCCCCCGAGTTCAAGCTCTTCCTGCCGGTGGCCAAGAAGGGCGCGGCGGACGCGGCAGCGGGGGCGAGTGTGGCCGCGTGAGTCGTAGAAGAAAGAACGGCATCAACATAAAAACTTTCGACGGTCCGCGCGGATTTCTTGGCTCCGCGCTGGGCCCCCTCCCCCGGCGGCGCCTCTGGCGCCGGCCCTGGCGGGCGTCCAGCGCAGATCCAAGCAATCCGCGCGGAGCGCCGAAAGTTTCTGTCTGTGGCGGTTTTTCTTCTTCTGAAGAAGGGCGCGGCGGACGCGGCGGCGGGGGCGAGTGTGGCCGCGTGAGGGCCCCTGGCCCGCATGGCCGCCCCGCGCGACGGTCGGTACAAGACTCGGTCCGGAACTGCAGAGCTTGCCGAGTCAGCTCACGGGTGCCCCCTGCCGTGTGTCGGGCGAGGCTGCAGTGCTTCGGGCCCCCCGTGGCCTGGCACGGCTCGAGCCTGCTCTTGAACCATTGCGGAAGGAAGGTTGGGTCTTGGGGTCTTGGGCGCTGGTCGTGAGGTTTCATGATGCATCATGTTGTTTTTCGGTAGCAAATCACTGGGGCCTTGTATACCATCGCAATTCCGCCCTCAGCGTCGACTGGCGTCGATTAGCGTCTGGAGTCAATGAGATAGCGCCGATGTGACGTAGCTTAGCGCCGAATAGCGTCGATCTAGCATCGATGAGCGTCGATGGGCGCCTATGAGCGTCGATTCGGAAGAGCCGACAAGATGGTACGGGAGGCTCCCTGACGCAGCAGCGTCCCGAATTGTTAGTCTCCCGCCCCGCGGGGCGGAGCGGCACGCCATCAGCTCGCAGGGCAGAGCGTGTGGCCGGGGCCGCGTCTGCGACAGGGTAAGCCAAAGTTCGTGACCGAGGTGATGTTCTTGAATCTATGCTTACCCAAAGGGCTGCCGAAACCTTGGCAGTCTTTGCCCGGTGTATGGACCAAAAGAAATGCCAGAGGCTTTGCAGGCTCGCGTTCGTCCGTTGCCGTGTTGATTTGCCTTGCTCTTCCTCACTTCCTTGGACGCCATCCCCATATCTATACCGCCAGGTTTTGCAACGAGGAGCCGTGGACAATGAGCAGAAGCCGCCTGTGCACTAGGTGCCCAGACGCTTCGTGATTCGCCAGAGGACAGTCTCGGCAGGGCCCCCAGGCGCATTGAGCTCCTCTCTGAGCCAAGGTGAACCTTGTACCGAAGCTCTGACTGTGCTCGCCCTGCTCCCCTCCTCCCCCTTTCCCTCCTCTCCCTTCCCCTTCCTCTTCCTCCTCCCTCGCCCTCCCTCCTCCCCCCCCCTCTCTCCTCTCTCCTCTCCAGCTGGCACAAGGGTCATGAACAGTTCTGGCGTTGGAGGGGCACCCTTCGTGCTCTTCGCGCCCGGGCTCTAAACCCTGGGGCGCTCTGTGCGTCGGGCGTCTTCGTTGGCCTTTCGGCGTTCGGCGAAGGGACCCAGGGTCTTGGCCTCCGTTTGTGTGGCAATGTTTCGGCCATGCCCCAACTTCCTGCCTCCCTCCCTCCCTGCCCGCTCGAGGTTGTCGTCGGTGCCTCAACCGGCACCCACCGAGTCGGGGACCAGGAGTGGCAGTGAGCAGGAGGAGGCGGAGGAGGAGGAGGCGGAGGAGGAGGCGGAGGAGGAGGAGGAGGAGGAGGAGGAGTGCAGGGAGGAGGGCAGGGGAAGGGCAGCGGGAGTGGAGGAAGAACAGGAGGGACGAGGGAGGAGGGGAGGAGAGAGGAGGAAACTTGCCACAGGTGCAGGCCAGGTGGGGGGAGGGAAAGAAGGAGTGGAGGGGGGGAGGGAAGCGGGGGGGGGGGGGAAAGGGAGGGAGGAGGCGGAAGGAGGGAGGGAAGGGGGGGAGAGGATCTACAGGTGGATGGGATGAGAAAGGAAGAGGAGAAGGGCGAGCGGCGCTCGACGGTGCTCTGGACTGTGGACTGGCGTCTGGGCGCGGTGGGTGCTGATGGTATCCTTGGCATCGTTCGTTGGGCGTGCAATACCTGTGCAAGATGAGAGAGGATGATGATGAATGGTGAGGAGGAGAAAGAACAGAAAACTGACACGGGGGAAGGGCAGGACGAAGGGACAAAGGTGGAGGATGTTGAGGATGAGAAGGAGGAGGAGGAAGAGGAGGAGGAGGAGGAGGAGGAGGAGGAGTAGGAGGAGGGAGAGAGAGAGAGAGAGAGAGAGCAAAGCGAGAGAGAGAGAGAGAGATCAGGAGAACGGAAGAGAGAGAGGATAAGGATTGCAACTCAGCAGAAGTCGGGAGAGGAAGAGTGGAGGAGGGGGAGGAGGAGGATGGAGGAGGGAGGAGGGATAGAACTTGGGAAAAGAGAGGGCGGCGTGGGAAAGAGGACAAGGAAGAGGAGACGGAGGAAAAGGAGGAAGGCGAGGAGAGATAATACGACAATGCGATTAGCAAGATGAGGGTGACACGGAGAGGGATACATGCAATTACACATATACATGTACAGATATGTGATGGCGATGTCGGCCATGATGACAACGGCGCTGACGATGATGCTGTTGCTGTTGATGGTAATACTGATGATGATGACGAGGAGGAGGAGGATGACGATGTTGATGCTGAGGCTGTTGATGATGATGATGATGGTGACGGTGATGTTGCTGGTGATGGTGATGGTGATGGTGTTGGTGATGATGATGTTGCTGCTGATGATGCTGATGATGAGGATGATGATGATGACGGCAGTGATGATGATGCTGTTGCTGCTGATGATGATGATGACGATGATGATGAGGATGATGATGATGATGATGATGATCATGATGATGATGCTGATGATGATGATGAAGTGGCGATGCCGCTTGTGATATTGATGATGCTGATATTGAAAGTGATGTTGACGGTGATGTCGATGATTATAAGTCTGGTGATAGCGAAGCTGATGATGGTGTTGGTGACTACGTTGGAAGCGGTAGTAATGTTGTTGGCGATGTTGTCGGTGATGTTGTTCGTGCGTGCGCAGTAATGATCTCTAGATGACTGTCCAATGACACGAATGAGAGGTTAGAGGAGCAGCAGTGACCTCGTGCCCGGCCTCCCTCGCTTGTAGCATTTTGTTTGCTCAGACGGGTCTGGACGACTCTTGCTGCCCGCGCCTCGGCATCCGTGCATGTCTGCCTGGCTTTCGGAGGTGCTGGCGGGCGCTGCGCGGGAGGCCGTGCGGTCAGCGGGCACCGCATCCCTCGGATGGTCTGGGCAGAGCGAGCGATCTTGCCCCGACTGCACTTGCGCGCCCAACCTGGCGTGCCCTGCCCTCCAGCGCTGCCCGGAGGCCAGCTGCCCGCCAGAGGCGGCCGGCCTCAGCCGCTGGTGGCTCGTCGTGGTGGTCTTCGCGGGCCTCGTGGGGCTGGCGCTGGGCTGGTGCGCAGGGACCATCTGGGGAGGTGGGCTGCGGCGTGTGTATGGCCGCGCCGGGTCTGATAGCGCCCGGTCGGCTGGTTCTGGTCTGGTACGGGGGCGGGGAGGCGTACTGGTACGAGCGCCTCCTTCTCTGCAAGGTCCAGGCGACGAGCTGGATCATCGCAGCGCCTGATGGTGACGTGTACGACGAAGGTATCATGGCTCTTGACGCTCGCGTCCCGCAGTCGATCCCGCCCCATGCTCTGCTCTACCGTCTTCCTCCCTTGGGTGAGTTCCACACCAACCAGGAGTGGCGCCAAATCTTCGACGAGGGGATCGGCACCGCGCAGCTCTAGCGGGCTGTGGACGGAGTGGTCGAACCGACCGCCGACGCCGAGGCAGTGGCAGTGTGTGACCGGGTGGCGGTGCATGGCTGGGTGGCTGGCTCTGGTTTTCTTGGTGGGCCCGCTGCGGCTGCCGTGCCCAACCCTGGAGGAGCCTTCGTCGCGGTCCAGCCTGGGGTGCAACCTGGGGGCGCTGCCGCGGCCCAAGCTGGCGTCGTGGCGCCAGCGGGCGGGGCCCAGGCTGCGCCGCCGCTCCTGGCCGCGGCCCCGCCCGCCGCCCCAGGCGCCCCGCCCGCGGCCACCCAGTGGGTCGTGCTGGCCAGCGGTGGTCATCCGGGAGCGCCGACGGTGGGCAGGACTGGAGTGTGGACGCCTGCGCTATCATCCCGGACGGATTCACCTTCGTCAAGTTCGGCACGACCACGACCGTCTTGGAGAACGTGTCAGTGGCCAAAAAGGCCAGTTTCCTCGCCGACAAGAAGAAGGAGATCGAGCTGGCGATCGCCTCGGCTCTTGCGCCTGGCGGCCTCGCCGCTGCCATCGCGGGATCCCCTCCAGTGCCCCCCCCTGCGGGCGCTCGTGCGGGCGCGCGGTCCACAGATGCGCGGGTGCTGCCGGCCATGAGCGATCAGATAGGCCTGCGCTACCGCTCGTACAGCCGATCTGGCAGCACTTTCCCATCAAGGGCCCCAGGGCCACCCTCTGGCCCTGCAAGTTCATTCGAGGCCAAGGGTGTGCGCCACGGACCAGGACAAAAAATGGATGCGCGACGCTCACATCCCGGACAAGCACGAGCATGCTTGTCTCATGGAGGTGTTGGAGCGGGCCCTCACGCATGATCAGATCGACGTATCAGCCCTGGCGCCCTGCGAGCTGCTGGGGCGCAGAGCGCAGCTGCTGGAGGAGGCATGCGAAGCGAACCCGAAGGCGCCGAGGCTCGAGAGGAGCGAGTATTTCCAAGGGCTGGGGAGGAGAACGGCCGCAGCGGCTCCGCTGCTCACGGCGCACGTGGTCTCACAGCTGCAGGGCGACGCGCAGATCCAGGAAGAGCGAGGCAGGGCTCGCGAGAAAGCGGCCCTCGCCCAGAAGGGCTAGTCGCCCGCGTGCTGTTTTTTTTTGTGCCCTAGGTCGGGCCGCCTCTCCGCTGCGGTCCTCGTCGAGTTCAGTGGCGCAGTTTTGACATGGGCATGTTCGACGGCCGCCAGCGCGACCTCCTGCCGTTGCCTCGGCCCCCTGGCGGCGGGGGGCCTGTCGCTCATCTCCGCCGCGGGGTCGGGTATCGATGTTGACAGCGCGCTTGGGTCGACATGCGATCCGACGTAGCTGCGTGGGCCCTCAATGAACTCGGGGGAGTTGGAGGTGCTGAGCCGAGCGGGCCAGGTGGCGAGCAGACGCGGGCTGCTATTTCGCTGGCCCAACAGGCTGCGGGCGCGGCCCCCGTGGCGAAGCAAACGCCTGCTCCGCCAGCGGCCCTCGCGGCGCATGCGCGCGCAGACGCTCGCTATGGTGACAGCGAGTGTGTCGGTCACATTGCGCCGCTTGGCTCGGCGGGCGCGTTGCTCTCGCGCCGCGGCCCGGTCGGCGCGGACATCTAACCCATTGTGCCCGAGGCCGCGTCGCGGAGCATGCAATGCGCGTCAAACAGGAGGGGCTTCCCAACGTGCATTTTGACCCGGCGCTGGGGGCGCGCCCTGCGAAGCGGGAGGGGCTCTGTCGGGAGCTTCGTGACAGGAAGCTGGTGGGTCGGTTCTGGACTCGCGAGGCGAATGGCGATCTGCGACTCGCACGCGATTCGCGACGGAGCAACATTCGACCTGGTACCTAAGATCAAATTCATCTTGCCATTGGCGTCTCGCCCAGCCTTGAGGCAGCCAGAGGGCAGGTGGCAAGCTCGGCCAGCCTGGGCATCAAGGACTACTTCCACGAGCTCAGGATTGAGTCGGATCTGTCGCAAAACGTCGCCCTGCTGCCCGCCCGCGCTGTCGCCGCGTGGGTCCAGGGCGCGTCGCGGGAGATGGCCCTCCCCGCCCTGCAGGCGCTCTCCATGGGCTTATCCGGGGCACGCGGGCGGCCCAGCTGGTCCAGGAGGCGCCCCTCCCGCGCCCAGGTCAGGCAACCCTCCTGTTTGGCTTCTTCGCGACGCGACGCCGCCGCCGTGCCTGCGAGGGCGTGCCAAGCGCGCGGCCTGCGTCGACATTTTTGGCATCTTCGGCCGCGGCAAGGCCGAGGTGGACGGGGCCCCGCGGCGCGGCGCTGGCGGGGGCGCGGAAGGCGGAAGGCGGGCTTCCACGTCGATCGAGAAGGTCAGCATCTCCATCGAGCTGGTGGAGGTGCGTGTCCATGGGGGGGGGGGCGGCAGGTGGCCACCCTGTCTTCTCGGCGTTTCTAGCGCTTTGGCGCCGGGCTCCGCGCTCTGACCCAGCGAGGCCGCTGCTCTGGGAAGGAGATGCGAGCCGCCACTGGGCGCCTATGCTTTGCCCCCCTCCTGCGTCGGCCACGCCTGCTCTGTCTGGCCGCCGTCTTCGCCCTCGCCGAGAGCGCGGGCAGCGAGGCCGGGATTGTTTGGCCGAGCGTCAAGGGGCGGCCCTTCATGGCGGCGGCAGCCCCGCCGCTGGTCTTCTCGGG